GRRRKGGRGGGGGGGGRGRRGRARAAGRMSGGGGRGGGGTGKRGKTTGGGTATTTTTTKATCACCCTGAAAGGGCAACGAAATCCTACGCCCCCAAGTCCATGCACCCTAAAATGACACCCTGCGCCCCCCTAAGGCCTCAACAACCCAACAATTTTGAACCCCTACCCCTAAGGCGTAGGGTGTCGTTTTCGGATGCAGGCCCTTGGGGGGTGTAGGATTCGGTCGGCGTTTGAGGGTGGAACCCATAATACCAAGCAAAACAACTCACCCCCCCAACCCCAACCCCCACCCCCGATGGATATTTGTTTGTTTGTGGCATCACCCTACCACCTATCACGCAACCCCACTTTAAAAAAATGTAGACAATGGGCAGGGGTCGGGGGTGGGCGGGGTGTTGTTTTGCTTCGTATTATAGGTTTCACCCTTAAACGGCAACCAAACCCTACACCCCCCAAGGGCCTGCACCCGAAAACGACACCGTACGCCCCCCCCACTGGGCCCCACCAACCCACTATTTCGAACCCCACACCTCTTGCCACCACAACACACGACAAACCCCCCCAAAAAATAACCCCCTCCCAACCCACCAACCACCGTCGAATTTTTTTTTTTTTTTTGCCTACACGTACCTTGCGACTTGTCGAACACCCCCGCTTCGAGAAATTTGCGAAATGGGGGGGGGGGGGGGGGGGGGGGGGGGGGTTTCACCCTCATAGGGGACCAAAATTGACCCCCCTAGAAAATCTTCTTTTTTTTTTTCCGGTGTGTGGGCCTAGGGACGCTCATGCGCCGCCGGGAGCCGTTTTCGTATTTTCGAACGGACCTCCCTTTCGGCCTCCATGGCGCCGCGCAGCCGCGCGGCCGCGCGGACGGGTCTGCGGGGTCGCGGCCTAGTCCACGGCCTCGGACTTGTCCGCGGATGTCCGCCGCCGAGGGTGATTCGTAGCTACCTAGCCCTGTACCAATGAACAACAGGCCGAAATTGTTAGGAGGCTGGCGGAGAAGATAAAGGAGGAAGCAAAAAAGGAGGAAAAGAGGAAGCAGAAAGAGGAGGAGAGATCAGAAAATGAGAGAAAGGAATTCGAGGAGAAGCTAAAAACGTTGGAAAAACAGAAACAACGGGTTGTAGTAGAAGACGAAAAAGAGGCAGAAGAAGGAGAAGAGGAGGTGAGGCTGGACGACCCCAAGCATAGAGTTGAAGGAGGTATGCGGACCGAAAAAGCAGAGTCCAGTTAACTGCAGTGGGACCCTAATCCCGTGGGAGTGAAAACTTCAGTTGTGATGTAGGTCGGTCTAGGGTAGCAACTCGGCAGCTGGAGGTATCCCAAGACCTGGTAGGGATCACGGGCAATGAGCGGTGGGCGCTTAACCCGTCTATCCCCATTCACCGGTACTGACCGGCGTGCGTCCGAAGACTCGACGGGACGCAATGAGGAGTTGTGGAGGGCAGTAGGGTTCGCCAATTGTATAATGCACGGTCCAAGTAGGGGTGAGATGTAAGGTCCACCAGTTGAGGACGCCAGAGACATGCCCCAAGGACGGATACTGACCGGCTTGCCATTCGCTGGTCGTAGTTATACCCGAAAACCGCTGCAATTAGTGAGGAACCAGTCTAAGTATTGAGAGTGATCCTTCATATTTGTGGGCATGACGTACTGTTTGCGTCGT